CTTTCAGTGCCCCTTGTTGTCTCACTGCTCTTACAGTTAATTTTTTTTTTTTCCTGAGATGTTATCTAAATTTGCTTAACTGCAGTTTAAACTTATTGTCATATATATCAGTGGCAGAGGAAATGAGTCTCCATTTTTTGGGGGTAGTCTTTTGAGTATTTTAAAACTTCTGTCATGTCCTCCCTTATCTCTTTCTCTGAGCCAAACATACTTAATTCTTTTTAACTTTTTCTTATATGGTACATTTTCCAACCCCTTTATCATCTTAGTCAGTCACTTCTGCCATCTCTAGTTCTTTTACATCAGGGCTTGGCAATTATTTGGGCTTGCGAGACAGACAGGGAGTTTTGGTAAGCTGCTGCAGGCCAAATCAGCATCCCCTCCTCACTCAACAGATCACCAAAACTCCCTAAGCAACCCAATCCCATCCACCTAGCCATGCCTTGCAGCCAGGGTTCCTGGCTGGTCTCTGTGGAGACCTCAGGATCATGGGCTGGTGAACAAGGCAGAGCTGTGATCTACCCCCCACATACCTTTGCCCACAGAACTGGTTCCTGTTTTAAGGGTGTGTGGGCAGTGAATCATACCTCTACTCCATGCATGGCCCAGATGGGGCATAGGTGGGCGGGGAGTGGCATTTGGGAATGGGATTGGCAGGGCAAAGGCAAGGATCTTGGGCCCTGGCCCCACGCTGTCACTGCCGTGTTCCTAGTGTTGCTCCTCACCCACCTGCAGACCCGTCTGAGGCAAATGTGGAGCTGGGCTGCCTTGGCAGTGGGACCCGGTCCTGTGGCAGTTGGAAGGTGCTGCCGCCAGGGCTGCCAGGAAGTGAGTCCAGCTGCCACGTCGCTACAGCCCCACTGCGTACCTGGTGGGCAGCAGGACCAGCTGCTTGCACCATAGCCCGGGTTGCCATCTGTGCTTGGGTTGAGCAGGGCCAAGGGACCAGCCACAGACTAGACAATATCCCTCAGTGGGCTTTCCACCCTTTCTCTACATCCTTTCTCTAAAGTGGTGCCCCAAATAATAATCCCAAATAGACTGGATTATTAGACCAGTATGCTCTATAGGATCACAGGTTGCTAGAGTCGTACAGGGTGATGAGCGTAATTTGGGTTTTTTTGTTTTTGCTTTGTTTTTTTTTAAAGTACTAACATGGTTCTTGGCACAGTATAAAGCACAGAAAACAATATCATGATCCCTGTTCTGAAGAATTTACAATTTAAAATGTAGACTCCATACATTGCATAAATACTGAGAGAAAATAATGCTAAGCTTTATGCTTTCATGAAATAATACAGCAAAGATCCCTGATATGGAGTTCTGAAAATCCAAAAGGGTAGTGGGCACTTGCTGGGTATCAGCTGCTCTGATGATTATGGTTGTATGGGTGTCAGGATATTCACATGGCAGAAACATAATCATGTTTTATTGAGGCATAAAGTACCCTGTTTACTGTGGCATAAGTGTAGGCACACAAATGTTTATTGTGCAGCAGAGGAGCAGGCAACCCTATTGTAGATGCATCTACCCACGCTTTATTTAACAATCTGGTCTTGTCCACACAGATGTTGCAAAGTTCCTGGAGTATCTTTACAAAGCTACGTATAAATTCTTCTTCATAAAAGGGATGGCATGCTTCCAAAGGATTTCTGTCTAGAAGCAGAATTTTCCTTTTAGTAGATGTTATTGCTGCATTTGATCTGGACCAAACAGTCACAGCTGGGCCTGTATCCCTAGATAGATAATAAAATTCTGAAGAATGTTTATTTTCATACTGATGTATGCAGGTTAGAAACCAAAATAACCTGAACTTGTTATTGGTGTAAACTTCTACATAGATCTGTCCTTCCAGAAGAAGTCATAGTATTCTGGTAGACTTTAACATGAATTAATGTATATAGGACTTGATTACTCCACACAAAACTGCCTTATTCTTTCACATCTTGTAATTGTAAAGATAATTTGGATTTGGAATGATAATTTTTGATGAGCCATCCTTTTGTTTCAAAAGAAAATTCAGGAGTTGCTTGGAATTAATCATAAACTCCATGTTTAAAATCCAGATTAAACACAATTCATTCCCAAAATACTTTGGGTAGCCAAACTGCACTATAAATGGTTTGTTGTAAACCCATTTAAATACTTTTATAAGTAGAAAATTCTTTGGCTTAGAGGAGAAGGAAGGACCAGCAGCTTGCTTTTTCTGAGAACTAAATCTCCAGGTTTGATTTCAAGAATGTTAATACTTTTGTTTTTCTCATACAGGCATGCTTAAACCAAATGCCAAAATTGAAGGGGCAAAAATTTTCTTTAGCCTCCTTAAAAAAATAAAGGAAGCAAATATGAAATGGCCACTGGTTTGATTCATTTGATAACAGTTTTAAAATGTTATTGCTTGCCCTGCAGAGCTTCCATATTTTATCCTAAGTAATAATGTTTTATTATTATTAATTGCCCTTTTGCAGTCAGTAATCACTCCTCAAACTTCAGAAGAAAATTTCTTCATTTCTCTCTTATTGTTCACACAAACTCTTTTAAGCTTCTGCTTATTTATCGTATCACAATAATAAAATTTCACTTCTTTGGATCTATCGTTGTCCCAACATTTGGATTTTTTTTTCTGTTTCTATCCTATTCATCCTCCTCCTCTTCTCAGTATGACTCCTAGTATGATGATTAATTTTGTAATTCTGAAGAGGTTTAAAAATAATGTTTCCAACTCTCTCCTCATCTATTGACTCTTCCTTTCTAGTCAGTCATTTCTCAATTTGAATTTAGTAGAGTTCTTAGCAACAAAGGAGGCTGGCAGGATTCAGGCTGTAAGTGGAGGTCTTGGATCCAGAGAGATAATATGGAATATTTTGTTTCACAGGCAGGATCAAAGTCATTTTATCTTTCACTAATTGGATGATATGAGTCTCAAACTTGTTTTTTTGTTATTTAAATGTAGCATTTATTGTATTAGTCCAAACAAATGACTCCACATTTTAGTGTTTAAATGCATATTTATGCCTTCAATAATAAACCCCCGAACTATTTTTTGTTACTTATAGAGCATCTGAGTTGTATCATCAATAATATGAACAGCCATCAAACAATTTATGTAAAAAAGCTGAAATATAGTGAAGTTGCTTGGGAATTGCTGTACACAGTAAACCTAATTTTTAATAGTTTATTTGGCAATGAAATGTATTTCAGACTGAAACTGGATACACATGTACATGTAAGCAGCATTTTTCACACTGAAATTTAGTTTACATGTCTACTTTTCTGGACTTTAGTAAAGCATACTTAACAAGCTTAGGGAGCTGGTAGACTGAACACGCTAGAGGCAAGTCTGAGGAGAAAGGGAGTCCAGGATTGCTAATTGCACTTTAAGGAGGCCTCATTAAGTTTGCTGGAGCTGGAGCAAACTATTCCAGTGCAAAGACTGAATAGGAGATGTAGCATGAGGTTATCCTGGCTAAACTGTGAACTGACGTTGGAAACTTGGTCATATTTAGCTAGGGAAGAGTAGTGAACAAATATGCAGGGAGAAAATCACAGTAGCTTAGAGCCACTGGCTAGACTCCAGTCTTGCAGAAAAGGACTGGAGGTTACATTGAACAACAAACTGAATATATGTCAATAATTTGCTCCTATAGTGAAGAGGTCAGTAGGGTATTGGGTATGTTACTAGACATGTCACTTGCAAATCAAGAATGTCACTAGCAAATTCTCCTGCTCTTTTTGCACTAGTGAGGACTTGGCTGGAGTACTTTGCTCAGTTTTTGCACTGTCACTTCAAGGAAGAAGTTGACTAATTAGGGAGAGTCCAGTGGGGAGTGACACAAACAAGTAGAGATCTGGAAAAAACATGACCTGTAAGGAAAGGCTGAAAGTACTGGGTTTATGTATTTTGGAGAAGAGAAGACTTGGAGGTTGGTGAGGAGATTTGTTATACCTGAAGGGTTTGTTACATGGAGGATGGACTCTTCTCTGTAGCTGCAGGGGTCAGAACAAGAACGCCGGGATCAGAACAAAACTGAAGTACAAAAATTATGTTGGCTATTATGGAGTACTTTCTCACTGTGGCCTTATCCACACGTGGTGTGGACATTTGGTTCCCCAGAGACAACTAATGGCAGCACACCTTGTGCTGCCATTAGTTGTCCCCAGGGAATGCCTGTGCCACATGCACTCTGGCATGTGGCAAGTTACCTGGGGGTAGGAGAGCTTAGGGCCAGCACTAGGCTGGCTCCAGCAGCCTTGCATGGGGCTCTCGGGCCCTCCCAGGGCTGCAGCGGGGTTGATCCTGCTGCGTAGGGCCTGGCCTGGAGCCACAGCGTGGCTCTGGGGGGCCTGACTCCGCTTTTGAGCGGCGCGCACTGCCCATATGTGTGCTGCTCTGCTATTTTTCTCTGTGGGTTTTTTGACCCCTGGATACCCAGGAGTCAAAACCCGCCACGCCACTCGTGCAGCACAGAGAACGTCTGAACATACTACATAGCTGTACTCATCTGGACGCAGCCTATCTGGGCAGGCTGTTCCAAGGTTTAGCTACCCTCAGAGATGTAGAGTCTCCATCTCTGGAAGTTTTTAGGAGCAGGCTAATAGGTTAGGTAGTCTTGACTAGTGTTGTTGTGGGACCATCTTGCTGTGAGCAGGAAGCTGGAGTAGATGACGTCCCAAGGTACCTTCCAACTTTATTAGTCTTTTATTCTATGTAACTAACTATGGGATAATATTGAAGCTAGTATCATGCAAACTATTAAGTTATGCAATGATGTAGTGAGCAGAACAGGGCAAGGTGTTCCAGGATCCATATCTCATGGGCACAATAACTTTAATACATTTTGAATCAGGATGGGCTTTAGTTACATTTTTAGCCTAGGAGTTGCAACAATAACAGCTTGGGTAATAAGAAGTATTGGCACTCCATCCCTAGTTCAGGGCATTTTATGAAGTTTTGATGTTGAAAAGCTAGCTGTGTTATGCACTGCTATTGGGAGGAATTTCATGTATGCATACATTGTACACTTATTTTATCTAGAGCACTTATACGTTTATATGGCAGAATGCTTATATAAATGGTAAGTATTCTATGTTCTTTATGAAAATAAAGAACAAAATTGTGGGTTGACAATTCATTCTCTGTTTCAGAATGTCTTTTAAAAACATTTGTTTGTAGGTTTTGGGAGAGGAGCAGGTGTAAACATCCTATAATATGAGCGGACCATAAAGGGAGTTGCTATAAGTGTCTGGTTGGCTGAGTTCCTGGTAAATGTTTACTTTAATGTTGCTAGTATGTGATGTTAATGCTGTTAGGGCGTCTGCAGTTGTGGATTTGATGTCTTTTTATTGTTTTACATCTGACTAAAAAAAATAATACGCTACCATTTGAATTCACTGGGGGACAGGGGATTGCAGAGAGAGAACAATTTTATGCTTGAGTTTCCTTTTTAGCACTATTTTTTTCTTTTAAAGGGAGAAGCTGGACAGCCTGGTTCTCCTGGCCCAGAAGGACATCAGGGTGAGCCTGTAAGTATTTTAATTTCTGAAAGACTTTTTTCCCAATAATAATACTGATATTCTGTTTCACAATATTTTGTCATATTGTGATATTTAAGTGTTGTTTTGGGGTTTTTTTTAAAATTAATTTACCATGCACCAAATTCTCATTTAAAGCAAGAAGTAGGCGATGTATTAAAAAGGTATTTTAGGGATGGGGGGGTTCAGTATTTTCCAAAATATGCAGAAGTTCTTTATATGTAATAGCTTTTAAACCATCCTCCCTCTCACATTACTCCCTCCCATTCAGAGTTGGGCTGGACTGTTCATAATGGCAACAGCAGCAGTTGCTTACACAGCAACTATTTTGTGTATTTATAATTGTCCTCATAGCCAATGTAGACTTGGTCTATTCTGAAACTTGTTAATCATTTACTGTCTTGTTTGCCACTTCTCTTTTTCTTCTCATCCTTTTTTCCTCACCTTTTGTCACCTGTTTGCTGTTTTGAAAATTGTTTTCTTCGGTCTTATTATTTCTTTTCTTCCTGCTGTCCTGGTGGACTCTCTGATCACTGGCTCATCCTTGTCGCACTTTTTTTCCCAGAAAATTCTTAATCTGTTGGCAACTCCAGTTTCTGAGGGTAGTAGCTCCTATTTTTTTCTTCATTTGGCAGCTGCCAGGGTAGAGACAGTTATACTGTCTCCTTGTTTCCAGCTGTTTTGGCTTTTTTAAGTTACCAGGCTCAGCTCGTATGATGAGCCAAGAAGCCTGTAGAAGCAGCTGAAAGCTAGAAGCAGAGAATGAGCCAGTTATCTGCAGACCTCCACTAATTACTCTACCAAGTATAGGCTACAGTTAGAGTTCATGGTCCAGGAAGTATTAAATTCTATATTGCAAAATATGACAACACAACTTTACAACTTCATAAACTTAGGTGGTACCACACCTTAGAGCAAAGCCAAAGGACTGGTTATTAGTACTGGAACAGAAATAGCACTTCAAGTCTAATTTCTTTTTTCCTTGGACATATAATTACTATTTACCAAACAATCAGCTGAACTGCAAAATACTGGACCCATAATGCCCCAGAATTTCTCCCCTTGAGCCAACCAAGTCGTTGTTTTCTTTTCCTCCTGAGCAATCACATGATTTTCAGGATGTGTTTAACCCTTTCCAGGTTGCAGTGCCATTACCTTATCACCCATTTTTATTAAGATAACTCACTGCGAATGTTAGCTAAAATGATAAAATATAAGTAAAGACTTCTTGAGGACAATGCTTTTCATGGAAGCTTGAATGTTCAGTCTGTAATATAACAGAAGTTTTATTTCCTAATTTAAGTTAGTCTCCCTTTTTCAAGGAAAAATGTTGTTCAATTTTAGATTTATCATGGCAGATATGGCAGAAGGAAAAGGCATTTTTGAGTTAGGGCTCATTAAAAGCTGACTTTGACAAGCTCAGTAGGTTTGTCAGTGAGGCTCTAAGGGATCGTGACCCCAGGGGGAGGGGAGTTCAGGAAGTGTGGTTGCTCCTCAAGGGAGCAATCCTCAATGCACAAGCTAATTCTATTCTGTATTGGAGGAGAGGCAGCAAGAGGGCAGCAGCTCCCTTGGCTCTCCAGGGATCTAGCAAACCTCCTGAGGCTAAAAAGACAGGCCTACAAAGGATGGAGGATGGGATTCACTTCCAAGGAGGAATATTTTGCAGTGGTCCGGTCCTAAAGGGAGCAAACCAGGAAAGCCAAGGCTGCAACTGAACTCCAACTAGATTTGAGTATCAAGGGCAATAAAAAGCCATTTTTCAGGTATGTGGGGAGCCGGAGAAAAAGCAACGACAACGTTGGACCCCTGCTAAACCGGATGGGACGACTAACACCCAGAAAAAAGCAAACTTGCTAAATGGGTACTTTGTGTCAGTCTTTCATCAGTCCCATGGGACACCCATGCCCACTACAAGACAGGGAGGTCCGGGTGAGGGAGATCCCCTGCCCTCCATCAATGCTTACCTCGTGAAGGAAAACCTTGAGAGGCTGGATACCTTCAAGTCAGCTGGCCCTGACAATCTACACCCCAGGGTATTCAAGGAGC